GCAATAAGCTGCAATTGGACAGAATCCCACCGGCAATCTATTGAATGATGTTTCAGACAGTTTATTTGATGTGGACATTTTAATTAAAGTTCCTGTCATGATAAAAACTATTTTACTGCACTCAGCTGGGGCCCCTGAATCCGTAGCACCAAGCGCCGTCCCATATTTTCACCATCCACGAACCCACTACTTTTTATAATGGCATAAATTCTATGTGGGATGTCCATATCTCAGCTCTGGAAGGGTCTAGAGCCTCCATTTTTGCACTGATCTGTCTTGAAACTCTCAATTCTGATAGAGGGCCATGAGACTTAGACCTGAGTGCAAAAATGGAGGCTCTAGACAAGTGATTCCCAACCCCCGGTCCGCGGACCGGTGCCGGTCCGTGAACACGTTAGTACCGGGCCTTGAAATATTTCCAGAAAATGTTTTTTCCCCATAATAATATTTGTCTTTTTAAGATGCTTTTTAACGTGTCATGTTATTTAATCCAAAACACAAATAATAAATGAATACAAATAAATAAAAATATTAAAACGTGTTTCTTTGAGCGCCTCCCGATTGCTTAGCAACGCGTCATATTAACAGACTGAGCGAAGTGACAGAAGTATGCGGAGAGATGAGCGGGCTCAGCAGCCTTTAATGGCTAATTTCATTGGGGACAGTTCCGGTAAAAGGAAAGGCGATGACCAACTTGAAATTTAGAGAAAGAAAAAGAAAAAGTCAAGCTTCAATCGTAAATACCTCATACATGGATTCACGACAACAGGCGATTCCGTGGCGTCAAATCCGTTGTGTGTAATTTGTGGTGAAAAACTCTCCAATAAAGCAATGAAGCCGTCAAAACTGCAGCGGCACTTCACCAAACATCCAAATCACGGTGTGTTTGCTATTGTATTCTGAAACTGTTACTATATAGGCAGGGCTTGACATTACCCACCAACCTGCCAAATGCGGGTGGATTTCACCCGTGGCGGGTAACACAGTCGCTCCTACTAGCCACTTTGGCGTGTTGAAAAATTGTAGCCTTGTCAAAAGACATCGGACATTTAACAAACGAATTGCAATTAGAGAAGATTAAACTCGCGGACTGGCCGTTGGACTGAAGGCTGTTTTCGTCTATGTTTAATTATCAACTTAATGTGATAATATAGCGATCTTTTTTAAAAGCAGTTGATTCCAGAACATGGGCGCATGACGCGCGTCTCAAGCTCTCCTGCAGTGCCGCTGCGCGAGGATGCGCGCGCCAAATTTGACATCCAGACTTTTGTAAAACAATCATCACACGCGACTGGTCGCATGCACACACACATCAACACAGCGTTCAGTCAGTTCGTGAGTGTGCGTGGTGGCCGATATAAAGAAAAAATTATCTTCATGATTTATGGACACTGTGTTACTACTAGCAGGGCTGCCCTTATGCCACGTCATATCACAACTATATTTCCAGAGTTAATTTTATGTTTAAAATTAATCATGCAATGAAAGAAAGCAGGAGATGCATCTGTGGAAATAATCTGGAAAATAACGACCCGTAGGCCTGTACTTATTTCAGATGGACATCTCCAGTTGATGATAATTATTAAGTTAGAGCTTTGAGGAAATGCTGATGCAAAACAAACAATTCAAACTCCCCAAAACTGTCATATAGGCCCATATGAAGTTGTAATCCTGTTGCCTTAATTGTGGATTTTTTCTTAGAAAAAATTATTTGTTCTTTGCTCATTGTTTCTAATGCAGATACTTATTCTACTCTGTATTACAGTATTTACTGCTGTTAAAAAACAAAACAAAAAAATTATGCAGCAATTTTATTTTATGTAAGAAGCTATTTTACTGTATGTCTTATGTATCTTAATAGACAACATGTTTTCAAAAAAGGAGCTTTACAACAGAGTCAGTACACTTTAGCACGTTTAAAGCCCCTTTGTCAACTTTAATCATATTTTACAACAACAAAAATGTGGCTACTATAGTAAAAGTGCTGCGTGGCTAGTAATTTTGGAAAACCACTAGCCAAATTGGTTAGCCGTTCTGAAAGTTTAAAAAGATTAGTATGCAAGGAGCCTTTGTTGCCACCTAATTCATTATATGCAAATAAATTATATCCTGTTACTGTTTTGCACAGTGATATGTTCCGAATCCAAACGATGCATCTTAAAATTTAGGTATTCAAATTGACAACTGGTCCCTGGAATTTTTTTTATGAATATGCCGGTCCCTGGCACAAAAAAGGTTGGGAACCCCTGCTCTAGACCCTTCCAGAGCTGAGATATTGAGATCCCACATAGCATTTATGCCAAGATCTCAACTCTGGAAGGGTCTAGAGCCTCCATTTTTGCACTCAGGTCTTAGTCCCAAGGCCCTCTATCAGAATCCAGAGTTTCAAAAGATTGGAGAAACGTATTTTTTTGCCCAAAAAAAAAACGACAGGGGTAACACTGTCGTTTTTTTGGGGGGTCGAAATTTTGAGTTTCTCTGATCTTCTTGAAACTCTGGATTCTGATAGAGGGCCATGAGACTTAGACCTGAGTGCAAAAATGGAGGCTCTAGACCCTTCCAGAGCTGAGATATTGAGATCCCACGTAGCATTTATGCCATTCTAAATATCTCAATATCTCAGCTCTGGAAGGGTCTAGAGCCTCCATTTTTGCACTCAGGTCTAAGTCTCATGGCCCTCTATCAGAATCCAGAGTTTCAAGAAGATTGGAGAAACTTATTTTTTCGCCCAAAAAAAAAAAAGACAGGGGTACTAAAAAAGACTGTCGTTTTTTTTTTTCGGGACGAATTTTTGAGTTTCGATATCACAGCTCTGGAAGGGGCTAGAGCCTCCATTTTTGCACTCAGGTCTAAGTCTCATGGCCCTCTATCAGAATCCAGAGTTTTGGGAAGATTGGAGAAACTTAATTTTTCGCCCAAAAAAAAAAACGTAAGGGGTACCACTGTCGTTTTTTTTCGGGCCGAATTTTTGAGTTTCGATATCTCAGCTCTGGAAGGGGCTAGAGCCTCCATTTTTGCACTCAGGTCTAAGTCTCATGGCCCTCTATCAGAATCCAGAGTTTTGGGAAGATTGGAGAAACTTAATTTTTCGCCCAAAAAAAAAAAACGTAAGGGTACCACTGTCGTTTTTTTTCGGGCCGAATTTTTGAGTTTCGATATCTCAGCTCTGGAAGGGCTAGAGCCTCCATTTTTGCACTCAGGTCTAAGTCTCATGGCCCTCTATCAGAATCCAGAGTTTTGGAAGATTGGAGAAACTTAATTTTTCGCCCAAAAAAAAAAACGTAAGGGGTACCACTGTCGTTTTTTTTTCGGGCCGAATTTTTGAGTTTCGATATCTCAGCTCTGGAAGGGGCTAGAGCCTCCATTTTTGCACTCAGGTCTAAGTCTCATGGCCCTCTATCAGAATCCAGAGTTTTGGGAAGATTGGAGAAACTTAATTTTTCGCCCAAAAAAAAAACGTAAGGGGTACCACTGTCGTTTTTTTTTTCGGGCCGAATTTTTGAGTTTCGATATCTCAGCTCTGAAAGGTGCTAGAGCCTCCACTTTTGCACTCAGGTCTAAGTCTCATGGCCCTCTATCAGAATCCAGAGTTTTGGGAAGATTGGAGAAACTTAATTTTTCGCCCAAAAAAAACAAAACGTAAGGGGTACCACTGTCTTTTTTTTTTCGGGCCGAATTTTTGAGTTTCGATATCTCAGCTCTGGAAGGGGCTAGAGCCTCCATTTTTGCACTCAGGTCTAAGTCTCATGGCCCTCTATCAGAATCCAGAGTTTTGGGAAGATTGGAGAAACTTAATTTTTCCCCCGAAAAAAAAAAACGTAAGGGGTACCACTGTCGTTTTTTTTTTCGGGCCGAATTTTTGAGTTTCGATATCTCAGCTCTGGAAGGGGCTAGAGCCTCCATTTTTGCACTCAGGTCTAAGTCTCATGGCCCTCTATCAGAATCCAGAGTTTCAAGAAGATTGGAGAAACTAATTTTTTCGCCCCAAAAAAAAAACGACAGGGGTAACACTGTCGTTTTTTTCGGGGGTCGAAATTTTGAGTTTCTCTGATCTTCTTGAAACTCTGGATTCTGATAGATGGCCATGAGACTTAGACCTGAGTGCAAAAATGGAGGCTCTAGCCCCTTCCAGAGCTGAGATATTTATATATCTATATTTATATATTCCACTAACATTTATAAACACAAGGTATATGATGTTAAGTTTAAACTAATTTC